ACTAAAAGGGTCTTGCCCATCTCTAGTTAAGTATGAAAAGGCAATAACAGCAATTCATTTTTGGCCTCCTGATTTGTAATTAAATTATCTTAATTTTTCTACTAGTAGCTTGTCCCATGGTTTGATACATTATTATGAAACTTTGGGAATTTGGGATACTCTCTCTCTCTCTCATTTAACAAGTTTTGGATGTCCACGGTGTTAAGACAACATTCTGTTTATGCACAGCTATTGTACCCACAGACAAGACATTAACATGAAAATGCATATATATTATTGAGCATGTAGCAAAAAATATTCATGTTGTTTGGTTTCAAATTTAACTAAGAAATCTATCAATTCAGTAGTATAATAAACAATGTGTTCAATTTAAAAGCATATAAAACTTCAACCAATCAAAAAATCGACAATTAAATACCTATTTTAGTAAGTCATCATGTTACCTATTATGCCATTTAATTTGGAATTAACAAAACAAGGAGTCTAAAGTAAGAAAAAATAAATAATAATAATAATATCTTGATGATAAATTAAGAATTTGATAAGTAAAATAAATTATAAAGAAAACGAAATAATGAAAATTGTGTATAATTACAATGAAGAAAAAGAAAAACAATGAAGAGATGAAGAAGAAAAGTGGAAAAGGATCTTGTTGATGCTCGGATTAGTTTGGACAATACTGTCAAGTCTAAGTAGGACCGAGGTACCCGAGGTCCGAGGATTGAGGTGATTGAGGACTAGAAACTAAGGTGATGAGGATCCAAGATCCGAAGTCCGCGGTCGTTATTTCTTGCGTCCGAGGTGGCCGAGGACCAAGGGGTCGATTCTGCACGAAGGAAAATGTCAAAGGTCCGATGGTCAAGTTAGTACCAAGGTGTAGAGTGAATGAGGTTTGAGGTGCGAGCACCCAGACGAGGTCACTAGAGAGCAATACATTTCAAATTCTAGTGAGAGAGCTCAAGTATTCGATCCTTTACCTGGAGGGGGGGTCACCTCATATTTATACTTGAAGCCGCGTGGAGGTAGGTGAGTTTGGATGGTGGGGATTGAGCCCGTACACAGGGTGTGTGGCCATCATAGGCCGCCAAGTGATTCTGCGCCATTGGTTCCTCGATTTCCGTTGAGCTGGGCAGCACACGTTCACTGATTGGCACCGCTCTAACATGCACTACCAGACACGTGTGAGTCCTACGATTAGATAGGGCCATTTGCGCCTACATCATTTGTCTCCCACTCGCGAGACTATGGTGAAGGCCCAAGCTAAGAGGGCCTCGGGTTCGGTTGAAGGGAGTGTGTCAGTCTGAGTTGGGAGGCGTTGATGGGCCTTTTGTGTGCGTTGTGGCCTGTGGTGGCGTTGGCTCACCTTTGTTCTTCACGGGTGATGATTGAGGCTCTTGTTGGGCCTTAACTTGGTTGCTCCTGCAGAGGACCTCGGCTTCGGCACCGAGGCTACTGTTGCGTGTGGACGAGGGGGAGACTTGCCCCCAAGCCATGCGTGAATGCTAGGTGTGTCCCCTGATGCCTTGTCGAGGCGATAAAGATTCTATAGGGGCCTCAACCTCGGCTGGAAGAGCCGAGGAGGAAATGCCAGGGTGCCCGAGCTAGTGACTTAGTCGTTTCATGAGGGAATCTTGTTTTACGATGTCGTGGGCTGTGGAGGAAGTGGTTCTCGGTGCTGGATTCGAGTCGCGTGGGTTGGGGATCGTGCCTACAACGGGTTGCGGAGTTGTTGCCGTATGCGGGATGGGATGTAGGCGAACCGGACTATGTCCCTACTAAGTCAGCACGGCTGGGCATACCAACGAGTTGTAGTGAGGAGGCAAGTTGGCTCGCTTGGCATCATTTCGTCTTCCGAGGTAGGTGACGCGTGTCAGTGAGCGGATGGGGTCATAAAGGCGGTAGCTCGGTAGCCATTGGATCCAATGCAATTTGGGCCATCCATTTTCCTTTAAATAGGGGCCTTAATCAAGCATCAACTCACCATTTGTTCTTCAGTGCCTTTGCTTCCAAGAGTTCCTTACTTCCCAGAGCCCTCAGCTTTAGTTGTTCACCCTTAGAGCTCTTTGTCTTCATCGTCCTCGTCTTCATCCTAGGTAAACATCTTGTCTTTCTCTGATTCCAATCCCAAATGCTATGAAATCCCGGTCTCCTCGGGAGCGAGCTCCTTCCACACCCCAACCCCCATTAGCTCCGGTCGAGGCTCATCAGTCCCCAAGATCCCAACCCTGTGCCAAGCGGTCGAGGTGCTAAGGGAGAGGGCTGCCCCCGGGGATGTTGAGTGCAAACGAGGGGGTGAGGACCCATCTTGCAAAAGTGCTGAGTCTGCAACACCAAGGGAGGCTAAAGTGTCCCCCTTAGTAGCGAAAAGGGGACCGGTCACCGAGCTCAGCCCAAGGATGGTGGCCAAATACACTGCCCGAGGGATGAATGTAGAGCGCCTACCCCGCTCGGAGCTTGACAATACCCTTGACTATGACGAAGTCAAGTCCTTGGCAAAGAGGTATCACATCTCTCTGTCTTATCAAATGAGGGTCCCCAACGTTGGCGATCAACCATGGACACTTAAGTTTGGTTTCAGTTTTCCCCTTCATCCGTTGATCTCCGAGCTATCGAAATGGTACGAGGTTACCCTTAGCCAGTTAGTCCCAAATGTCATTAGGGCAATCATCGGTATGCTGGTGGTGGCTCAGCTTCAAGACATCCTGACGTCGAAGATGTTCCGAGCTATGCTTGTATCGAGGAAACACACCTCCGAGGTAGGCATGTACTACTTCCACTCTCAGAGAGGTTGACCCCTAGAGAATCCCTCGTCCGTCCTTGGCTGGAAGGAAAAGTTTTTCTTCATCTCCTATCCTAAGGGTTGGTCGTTCAAGGCGGAATGGGGGGAAATGTATCTAGTTGTCGAGAAGGCCAAGCCAATGCTTTGGGACGATGAAGCTATCGCGGTAGACCATCTCCTTGTGTTGGGAATGCTACAGGCCAAGCCCCTGGTGGAGGTTGAGCTTCAGTCCTTGCGTCGGTTTTTCTTTTTTACTCGATACTAATTCTTGTTTTCTTTCTTATAGAGATGCCACTGGACGCCAAGAGCATGATGTTAGAGAGCACCCTAGCAAGTAAGAAAGGGGCCGCTGAGGATATATTGGGAGGGTTAATAATGAGGAGGCATTTCGAGGTGCCCTCAACGAGGGTAGAGAGGGGGTCCGCGCTTGTAGAGGGTACCCCTCAACCACCAGCCCCCAATGGAGGAGGGGCAATAGAGGGAAGAGGCCGGCAGAGGGAAACTAGCCAAGGGAGGTTGCTAAGAAGTGGCCAGCAAAGGTGCCACCTGCACCTCCAAAAAAAATGTTGGTGCACAAGGACCGCCTAGCCAAGGGCGGCTAACTGAGGAGGGAGCCATTTGTTGCTCCAAGGATGTTGTCTACCAAAGGGCCTACCACCAGGCCTTCGTCTACTCTGTCTTCTGCCTCAGAGCCAACCGAGGAGGTGGAGTGCCTTAGTTGTCTATTCCACCCCAGGTGGGGCATCCCGAAGGGGATTCCATAAACTCTGAGGGGGTTGGTAGGGCCCTGATAAAGGGGATGATCCCCCTGGGGGATCGGTTTGAGATGATGCAGACTGATCCTCTTGTCATTCGGGATGAGGGCCTGGACTTCTTGGCCGAGGAGAGTTCCGTTCAACTTTTTCCTTGTTATCTTTTAACTTCTTGCTTTGCTTTTACTAATGGGATATCTGCTACAGGTCTGTTGCCACTACATCGGCTTGGGGGATCGGGTCGACCTCATTCTTGACCATCTGCAGCGGCTTGAGAAGAAAAGCAAACAGTTGCAGGTGTGGGTGGCCTCTGCCGAGAGTAGCCCGGGCGAGACCCTCTCATTACTGAAGGAGAAATAGCTCCGGCAGACGGTGGAGAATGATCTGAAGGCCGAGAAGGCTTGGCTCGCTTGGGATTAGGAGTCATTGACGGCGTTCGAGGAGGAGGGAGGTGCATTGGAGGACCGAAGGGAGGCAATGGATGCCAAGGCTCAGGCAACAGAGGCCGAGGTAGCGGCTGAGGAGGCTGAGGCCAACTACCAGAATGTTGTCATCGTTTGGCAACAAACTCCAGAGTATCAGAAGTGCCTGGCTGATTATGGGTTTGAGGCCTACTTGGAGGGGACTGAGGACATTAAAAAGACGCTCCTAAAGATGATGCTCGACTTTCGGGTAGACGAGTTGCAAGTTCTTTCAGACTCCCTGCTCCCCGAAGACGTTACCGAGGTCCCTTTGATGTTGCTGGCATAGGCGGCAAGGACTCTGTCGCTCCTCCAACCGAGGGCGATACATAGTTGGCCCCCATGTTGCTTTTCCTTGTTTTTGTTTTTTGTTATTGTAAATGAGCTCGGCTTGCCCTTCTGAGGCTAGAATTTTTTGTATGCTAAACAATGAATATGGAATGGAGCATTTTTTGTATATCTTGTGCCTTTGTTTACTTCTTCTCTCTTCTCTTCTTCTTCTCTTTTTTCTCTCTTTTTCTTTTTTTCCTGAGAGATCCATGCCCCTCCCCTTCGAAAGGTCACAAGTGGGCAAAAAATATCCCATGGTGGCTCATTACTTAGACACTCGCTTTGGGAAGTTAGTGGGTGTGTCCGAGGGCGAGCTATACCACCAAGGTGTAGTTCGATTGGCTTACTTTTATTCCCTTAAGTATCGACTTAGGCGAGGCCGAGGTGAACCGCTGAGGTGATCAGGGTTATGTGCCGATGCGAACCACCGAGGCAATCGGGGTTACGCTCCTCTTTCCTTTTTCCTAGTAAGTGTTGTGGAGCCAAGGTGGCTGCTTGCCTCCGAGGCTTGAGGCGAGGTGTGTGATACCTAGGCCGACTTGGCTTGCTTTTCCTGATGAGGTACTTAAGTTTTGTGTTTGCTCATTATAGGCCAAGTGTGCTTATTGTTGTTTGCAGTTAAAGCCCCTACTTGTCCTTGCCTCTTCTACAGAGGTTGGATGGACGTTTGGCTCAAGACGAGTTGTATGTCCCAACCACAGTCTAGCCCGAGCGTAGGGGCCTTAGAGGAGGTTATGCACATCAGTTGGTCGTGCAGTCGAGGGGTCTCGGCCACTTAGAATAAGAAATTACACACATCGAAGAACGACCTGAGGAGAAACTTTGCACTATCATTGTTCAGCTAATAGGGATTACAATCATTGGTAGTACATACGAAGGTTCTTCAAGTTCCATGTCTGAGGGACTTGCCTTCCATTTAGGTTCTCGAGCCGAAAGGTGCCAGGGACGACGACTTGCTTGACTTTATAGGGACCTTCTTAGTTGGGGCCGAGCTTGCCTATGCCAGGTTTGGGCACCATGGCTTTTCTGAGAACGAGGTCTCATTTTTCAGTTGTGCCTCTCTTTGACCCTTGAGTTGTAGTAGCGGACCATTCTCTTCTAGTAGGCCTCCACCCTAATCTGGGTCTATTTTCAGACTTCTTCCAATAGGTCCAAGTTTGCTCTAAGCGTTTCACTGTTCTCGGCCTCATTGTACACCTCAATTCAAATTATTAGTTGGCCAATCTCTTTTGGAATGACGGCCTCGGTGCCACAAGTTAGGTTGAATGGGATCTCTCCCATGGTTGTTTGAGATGTCATCTGGTATGCCCATAGGACACTATTTAGTTCATCGGCCCATAGGCCTTTTACTCTATCAAATCTAGTCTTCAGTTCATCTAGGATAGTTTGGTTGGTGACCTCGACTAGGTCGTTCGTCTAAGAGTAGCCTACCAAGGTGAATTGTTGCTTAATGCCAAGGGAGGCGCACCATTCTCTGAACCTCCCGTCGTTGAACTACTTCCCATTGTCTGTGACCAGCATGTGGGGGAGGCCGAAGTGGCAGATGATGCTTTTCCAGAAGAAACTTTGGATTACCCTAGCTGTGATGGTGGCCAGGGATTCGGTTTCAACCCACCTGGTGAACTAGTCGATGATGACGACGAGGTACTTTCTATTTCTCATTGCTTATGGAAAGGGGCCGAGGAGGTCCATGCCCCAATTAGAAAAGGGCCAAGGACTGCTGAGGGCCGATAGTGTTGTGGCTAGTTGGTGGCAAATACTGTGTCTTTGGCACTTATCACACTTCCGTATCAGTTTGGTTGCATCTTTCTGAAGTATCAGCCAGAAATACTCTTACCTTAGTGCTTTTTGGGCCAAGGCTATACCGCAGAAGCCTTCATGAATTTCACGGAGCACGTAATCTCCCTCCTCCTTAAATGTGAAATTTTGCAATTCTTAATTTAATGATTTGATTAGACGGGCAAGCCAACTCGCCAAATCAACCAGCCATAATAATACTTGTAAGGACGCGTTCAAATCTAGTGGCGGCACTAGTGGCCATGTGATGAGAACGCGTCGGCATGACATCCACAAGTTAGTTTGACTGACGATGCAATTCCCAATTGTTCGCGTCAAGAATGCAGACATGGTTTTAAACAGCAACAAGGAAGGTAATATCTAATATCAGACCTCTAGAATCTCTTCAAAGCAGCTTTAATGGAGATCAACTTGGGAAAGGAGGGCAAATATATAAAAAAAACCCTTGAAATATTACGTGATTGGCAATCTGTGTTAAAGTTTATTATTTTGTTGTTATTCAACAGAATAAATTTCTAATCCTATTCTTTAGGAAGTTAGGTAGTGTTTACCAATTCTTTAGGAAAAACCATGAGCTTAGGAGTTGTTAGTCATAGGTTAGTTGCTGCCTACTTTTCTGCTACGTGCATCTCCGGTTTAGTTGTATTTAATGCTTTAAATTCATTAATAAAGTTATGCTCTCCAGCAAATAGATTAGCTTTGCCTTTTACGTGAGTTCAAAACAGTTTTAAGCACTAACATTTGGTATCAGAGCCAACAAGGGTTTTGGGTTTTTTTTGTTCTTTTGCAAACAGCCAGTAGGCGACAATGGCATCAGACAACAACTATGTGCAACCAGCAATTCCTCGCTTTGATGGTCATTATGATCACTGGAGTATATTGATGGAGAATTTTTTGAGATCCAAGGAGTATTGGACTATTGTGGAAACAGGTGTGGCTGAACCAACTCCTGGAGTTGTATTGTCAGAAGCTGAGCAAAAGAAACTAGAAGAATGGAAGTTAAAGGATCTCAAGGTAAAGAATTATTTGTTTCAAGCAATTGATCGTTCCATTTTGGAGACAGATAGATGAGGATTTGCTTTACTTGCATTTTATTTTCTCTGCTTTTGTTTCTTTTCATACACCTCCTGTTCAACTTGAAAGAGAGCAAGAGGAAAAGAAAGGGAAAGGTCTCTCTCCGTTGCGGATCATTTTAAAGTCTAGACCTGATATTATCTGTCTCCATTAGAAGTTTGATGTACTTGACAACAACTAGACCTGATATTATGTATGTTGTAAGTTTAATTAGCAGGTTTATGGAATCTCCAACTGAGCTTCATCTCCTTGCTGCAAAGAGAATCTTACGCTACTTGAAAATGATTATGCAGGAGACTTAGAGGATAGAAAAAGTACTTCTGGTCATATCTTTATGATGAGTTTAGGGGTTGTTTCATGGGCATCAAAGAAACAACAAGTTGTTACATTGTCTACAATAGAAGCAGAGTTTATAGCAGCAGCTTCTTGTGTGTGTCAAGCTATTTGGTTGAAAAGAATATTTGAATTGTTGCATTGTTTCAAGCAGCAGAGTATACAGATATATTGTGATAATAGTTAAGCCATTAAACTGTCCAAGAATCCAGTTTTACATGGTAAGAGAAAACACATAGATGTGAGATACCATTTTCTTCGACATCTCACAAAAGAAGGAGTCATTGAATTGGTTTATTGTCACAGTGAAGACCAGGTTGCAAATATACTAACCAAGCCTCTCAAATTGGGTGCATTTGTGAAGGTGCATTAAGGGAGGGTGTTAAAGTTTATTATTTTGTTGTTATTCAACAGAATAAATTTGTAATCCTATTCTTCAGGAAGTTAGGTAGTGTTTACCAATTCTTTAGGAAAAAGTCATGAGATTAGGAGTTTTTAGTCATGGGTTAGTTGTTGCCTATTTTTCTGCTACGTACATCTCTGATTTAGTTGTATTTAATGGTTTAAATTCAACAATAAAATTATGCTCTCTAGTTAATAGATTAGCTTTGCCTTTTACGTAAGTTCTAAACAGTCAATAGATTAGCTCTGATATCAACTGTCACAGGGGTAGTTCTACAATGGAAGAAACCCATGTGGCGTCCAGGCCAAGGTAGGCTAGGACAAGCCTTTGTGTGCTTAGAGGCTAGGAGTTGCCCAATGAGATGGCTCCACCAAGGTCAGTAGCACTGGATCATGACCTCAAGTTGTATGATATTGATATTAAAAAGAACAAAACTAAAGATCTAAAAGCAAAAGAGTCATTGATGCCAACCTACTAAATTAAATGATTTAGGCGGTCAAGGCTACTGCTGTAGCAATGTGCTTTCTTGCTTCCTTAATAATGGAAAGCTTAATACCCTTGCCCTTGGGAAGAGACACCCATGGCTTTGTCCCCTTGCCAATGGTGAAAACATTCCCTAATCGAGTAGCAAAATCATGGCCTGTTGCATCCTGAATATGAATAGTCTCAAAGCTTCCCTTGTGCTTCTCCCTATTCTTGATGATTCCAACACGCCCCCTGTTTCTTCCACCTATCACCATAACAACATTTCCGACATCGAACTTAATGAAATTTGTTATCTTGTTGGTCTCAAGGTCAATCTTGATGGTGTCATTAGCCCTGATGAGGGGGTCTGGATAGCGGATTGTACGACCATCATATGTGTTCAAGTAGGGAATTCCCTTGTCTCCAAATTGCATTGATCAAACTTTGCCTCTTCATCCTTGATAGAATGGAGGCGGAAACAACCCTTTGTATCATAC